TGTGTGTGTGTGTGTGTGTGTGTGTGTGTGTGAAGAGATAACTCTCCTGAACTGAAACTTGTGAGAAATACTTCGTCCATGGACAAAAGTTTTCTAGCTGTAGAAAAGTTGTAGCTTACTTCTGAAGTGTAGTCTAGCAGTTGTCGTACTATGTGACACATTCATTAATAACTTCCTGTCTCTCCTCTGTGTTACAGGCGGAAATGTCTTCCCCACAAGAAGAACCACCGTCTGCCGCGTCGGCCATTCTGTCGTCCGCCTTGTCCTCCGCCGTGTCGGCCGCCATGGCCGTGGCTATGGCCGTGGAAGCTAAGGCGGAACTTTCCAAGCTGCTGGAGGAGTGGGAGGAGGCGCAGCGAGGCAGCGCGGAGCAGCTGGTGTCCAGCCTCACGAAGTCAGCGCCGACTTGTTGATATGATAAAATAGATAAGATATGAACGTCAGAGCCTCTGCTCGTCTGTTTCTGGAGGACTTTCGTGACTCTGTCTCATCTGTGTTTTTTCTGCAGAATCTCTGAGCTGATTGAACGAGAGACTTCGGAGTATCACAAAGCAGATCCAGATCCGTTTGATGACCGACATCCAGGTTTTCAAAACCGTTTTGTTCTTTGTCCAAAAAGTTTAAAAACACCATACTCGTGAACACAATCACAAAAAACTGTTTCCTGAACTGAAGCTTCTGTCCATGTTTGTGATTGGTCGTTGATTTTCTCTCTCCCGTGTAACTGCAGGTCGGGCGAACCCAGACGGCATGCTGGGACAGCTCCTGAAGATGCTCTTCACGAACAATAACTTCACGAACGCTGTGAGGACTGATTTATTTATTCTGCTGAATCGTGTCGCGGGGTCTGTGTGTGTTCATCCACACGAGACGGAGGAGTTTCATCTCAATCTGCCGGAGAGAGACGAGATTATTTTTCTCAGTTGATCAGTTATCTACGGAATAATTCATCGATAAGTGAAACAATGCAGATTCAAAAACTTTCCACAGCTCAGATTTTTCTGTTCTTCAGTCTAAAACAGTTTGAGATCAAAACTCTCACATGTGACAAATCAAGCAGCAAATTTACAAACGTGAGAAGCTGCAATGTTTTTTTGCTTGAAAAAGATTAAGTGTCAAAATAGCAGCCAAGAAACCAACAGATAACTGATTTTGAACTTTATCAGTGAACCTTGAAACAATAGAAGAAATGAAATCACCTGTTTCACTTTATTTAGAAATACGCACAGATTTCAAATTCACGTACAGAATCTGAATTTAACAAACTTATTTGATTGTTTTTTTTATGCCCGTTAATAAAGAAAGTTTGAATTTCACTGCAGAAGTGGAGCTTTTCATTTCATATTGTGTGTCTCTTCAAGTTGTTGGACACGTACATCATGACGAGCAGAGAACTGAGCCTCAGAACAGCCGCCTGTCGTCTGCTGCTGGACATCATGCCGGGCCTCGAGACCTCCGTCGTTTTCCAAGAGAAGGTAAAATGATAGTTTCATTTCAAAGATGAGCGCACAACGAAAGGGGAAGAAAAAATATACAATATAAGATTAGCAACCTACCACTTTGTCTTTTGTTGCAGCCTCGTGTCTTCACTCAGGAGGACGGACATTTGACAAATATATTATTGTCTCCACTTACAGCAGCATCATAGTTAATGTTCATTTTAAATTGGCGTTAATGTCAATTGTTGCAGATGTCACTTATTGTGCATCAGATTCGCTGTGACTGAGTCAGTGTGTGTGTCTGTGTGTGACAGGAGGGGCTGGTGGAGACGTTGTTTGGCTTCGCCCGTGAGGCCGAGCGGCCGCTGTGCGTCTACGCCACAGGGCTGCTGGCCCGAGCCATGAGCAACCAGGAGGTGGCAGCCGGATACAGACCCTCGAACTTGCAGCTGGTGAGTTTCACACGAGAGAAAACGTCCTGTTGTTCACTCTGCTGTAAAATCTGTACAATACATATATATA